ATTTTTGAAAAGAAGTATTGAAAAAGGGGCATTTTTGTGAGTCTCCCGCTAATTTCTCCTAATTTTGTTATTATTGAATATATTGTTAAATAAAGTATAATTCGTATGATGCTAAAAAAATATTAATCAAGCTAATTCTTTGTTTATGTTGAGTATTTGGTGGTAAACAAAATGTGTGTATGTCATTATTGAGAAGTTTGTAGTTATACTTTGAACATCCACACATAATCGCAAATTAAAGCATATATGTCTCTATATGCATTTATAGATGTAGGTGTGTCATTATTTGATAGGTGTATGCTTTTATTATCTTTAATGCGTGTGTGGTATGCTGAGAAACTGATGCTATCAAATGAGGGATTCAATCTTCACAAAACAAAGAAAGTCAGCTTCTTTCATTTAAGACTAAAAAAAAAAGTAGAATAAAATGAGATGAGATTGTTTGTTTGACAAAATAATTATAATGAGATGAGATTAATTAGCTTGTGTGTGGTCAAGAAGACACTAACTATATCTCCAATCTTTATTAACGAAGAAAAAAAAGAAGTGTAGTTCAATAATTTAATAATTTTATACGCATAAATATTCAGATCAAGTGACAAAGATACAATCAGTCTGTGAAGTAGTTTCGTTAATAATTAAGAAAGTACAAAGTGCAACAATATTAAGAAGCTAATTATATGGATATAATAAAACATCATTATATATGGATTACTAATCCAACAATATTAAGAATTGCTAATTGATCATTTAGGGATTGTGGTCTTGAGTGTAGATGTAATCAGTGTGAGCAACTAAAGTTCTTCGTATCAAGAAGCATTCTTCTTCTCCAACACCTTCACAGTTTCCCTCCCCTTGTTCCATTTTCTGCACATAAGAAAAAAAAATATGCCCACGTTACTAAATTGTTAATCTCGATTCTCGATTATAATTCCTTTTCTTTTAGGGAAATCAGATAATCTTGAGCTGAAACCAGAGTGGTCTTTCATTTTTAGGAGAATTGTATAGCTTTGTTATTTAAAGCATTTTCGATCATATTTCTTTATTCACTATATATAGAGCAAATATATGAACACATAAACACCATGAGAATGAGGTTTAAGACCTTGACGGAGATATCTTCAGGATAAACGGAGGTCGGAGTGAGCCGGGCTGATGCGTATGTTAGCGTGGAGCAGAGAAGAAGAGCGATGATGAAGAAGAAAGTTGTGAAATTAGCCATTCTTTAGTATGACTTCGTATGATACAATTCTTGCTATAACTGTGAAACAGAGATCAAATATATTTAGAGAGGTATTAATAAAGATAAAGAGGAAGATATGAGGGATTTAAGTTATGTAATTGAGGCGTATTTATAAAGAAAACATGAGATGAGATAAAAGTTTCTGCAGAAACGTGAGCCATATAATCTTGAGTTTGAGTAAATGAACGTCATGAAACCATTACTATACCGAACACGCACATGTATATTATTATTTATAAAATTCTCTAATTGAGTTTTGTTTGTATATAAATAGTTAATGTCGACAAGAAAAAAAAATATCCAAAATGAGAGTGTTCTTGGTTGGTTAATCAGTCTCCTTTGGTGAAATTGATCAATATGGAGTCAACTACATTTTAACTTTTTCTACTTATATTTATATATCATGTTCATATAATAAAATTTTACCTTAATGTTGAAAAAAAAGTTGGTGACGGATGTATCCGTATACTGATTACTGAGATTCACCCAATTATTCTCACGTGAAGTTAACTGAAGAAAGTGTGAACTTTTATAACCAAAATATATACATTTTGTTTTCTCGATTCTATTGTTAAGTGAATATAATGAGGTCCATTAATTTCCTACGATAAAGTGGGATTCTAGGTGACTTTTTATGTTGTTCACTAATTTTTTTGTTTATAAATTAAATTTATGGTGAAGGAGATAGATAAAGTACTGTTTATATTTGACGTTTTCATCCATGTCTATAGTATTTCATCATATACACATGTTATAGTGTTATGAAATCATGTTCACTTTTTGAAAGATAGTTGATGTGATAATTAAGAAGGGTCCATCGCAATGAAAACAACATTCTGCAAAAAAAAAAAAAAGTCTGGTCAATAAAAGAGGAAAAAGGGCTTCCGCAAGCAAGATTCGTTTCAAACATGGAAATTATTTAGTTCTATCCGCACACGTACGGCATACTATATATTAGCCTTATTCAACAATTTCAATTGTTTTGTTTTGTATAATAATACTATGTATCTTGTAAATCAAGATCAAGATTAATCATCAGTGGACTATATAGGCCTTCATTTAACTTGGGCCTGTCTTCTACTCTATTATATGATTTAGGTTTTGGCCCATTTCATAACAGCTTGGGGTTTATTTTGTCAATTTTTTTTTTTTTGGGCAATTTTTTTTTTTGTCTAAATTCTTGTTATTCACTGTAATGTCACGAGCCACCTGGAATTTGGGAAGTTAAAATTAGTTTGAAATCATGAAAAATGTTGATACCGGGAAAGATTTATTCTTCCAACTATGTTTTTTCTTACAAATCCGGATCCAATTGGTCGAAAGAGAGTAAACAGGTCAGTAATTGATGAAATTTTAATATTTAAATTTAAAATTTGTAAGTTTTGTGACGAAATAATTTAAAATAAGAGGCTAAGTATAAAATTTGAAAATTCGATAACTTGATAATATATAGTCAAATATACACATTTTAAAGTTGGTGTGCACATGAATGCCTATAAAGTGGAAAGTGTTTTGTCATGCTTTTATTTTGAAAGTTTTGCATTTTGTGCAGCTTTGAACGCAGCTTTGCCGTTAAGAAAACTACCTTCAAGAATACTCTCTTTTTTTATTCAAGGATTTTTTTTGGTTTAATATTCCAAAATCACGCCTTTATATATACAAGCTAGTTAATATATAAATGTTTTGTTGTTATAAAATCAAGTCATAATACCTAATAACGTAAAATCCACTATATTTAACATGTGATTTCATATACTGGTTCCAAATATAATATATTATTTTGCATGTATTTGTTATATTATAATTTTATCATTCTGTCGGACTAAAGATTAAATCATGTGATTTCTTTTCTCAAAACTTGATATATACATAGAATTTCAAGAACCAGAACATATAGTCCGTCAAACTAAAAGTTTTTTGATATACCCGATCGGCTGATCTGGTAAGCCTCGGTAGAAACGCACCGGAGTGCTACAGAGTGGACTCACTACCACCCCGAAGGATGGGCTTACAAACTGCCTGAAACCGAGTTTAGAATGCTTTCCGACTAATGCCCGGGGGTAGCTGGATCGCCTGTTACCAGACTACCAGGTAAATTGCCTGGACTGAAGCCCAAGTCCAGACTTCCCAACAAAGTGTTGATAACAGCGAGGGAGGAAGATCGAACCCGAGTTCGAGGATTTCACCCTCAACTCCGAACTCGCCCTACCACTCGCCCACCACCTTGCGGACAATCAAACTAAAAGTTCTAAAAGCAACTTAAAGTTATCTTCAATTTACATTATAAAAAAAAGTTATAATGTTATCGAAATAGGAACAAACCACATGGCCGTCAATTTATAAAAGTGAATAAATTATTAGAGTATCGTTGAAGGCTATGAAGAGAGAAAAAAAAAAGCGAAGAAAAAGATTTAATAGTCTTATAATATCAATTTAGGAACGTTTAACAATTTAGTGAAGAAAAAAAAAATGAATCTCAGAACTAATTAGAGAGTTCATTCTTCAAAATATTTCGTATTGAAATCATATAAGATATATAGAGCCATGCATGAACATGAACATGAACATGATGCATCTTTCCTACGCGGTCGAATCCATGCAGACATCAACATATCCATAGGTAATGTTTGAAAAAAAAAATTGTGAAATGAAACTCTTCCTAGTCCATCAATATTTTTGTGTTAACAGATCATAAGATTCATACCCATAATATGATTACATAAAGAATTGGTACTTCAGCTTAAAAAATATAACAAAATATACTGATATCTTCCGTATAGAATTTTAAATTTTAAATCCAAGGTTTTTATTGGCACATTTGTCAATCAACTAGAAAATAAAAATGTTATTTTCCACTATGAAAAAGCTGTTATCCAAACCAAAGCAAAACTTGTTTTATCCGCTCATAAAAAAGATATTATTACTGGCAGATGGGTATTATTCATCATTTTCATATATTTATATCTCGAGCACTCATAAATCACTAATGTATATAGTCAGCTGAGTTAAGATTAAACAGTGTACTACAAAGTTAAAATGTTAATAAATTATATGATTAAATATTTGCGACTTTTATAAGTATTTTGGAGCCAAAGCCCATTTTTGGGATGATTAATATATATATATGTTAAAAAAAAAAAAAAAAAAAAAAGAATATTCGGAATAAAAAGTTACATGCGTAATGAGCCAGAAACACCTCCCCGACTTACCTTTTTAGCTACGTCTAATCCCGTAATGACACGTGTCCATATACCGTCGCTTACTTTAATTTTATTTTCTGAAACAATGAATACAAGACTTTCATAAGATAATGACGAAACTAACCTTCATGTATAGGCCCAAGAGCCCGTCCATAAATATGAACCTCCTACAATGCAATTCTTCCCTTTTCCCCTTCTACTCTCTCTTACGTCTACGTTTTGAGATAATTAAATTCTCTTTCGGTTTATATTTTGAGAAGCATTACTATGTCTACATTTTCTCCGGTTTTTTCATCTGAGCCGGTTTTTGCCAATCATGTACCGGCTTTGGAAACTGGATTCACCCCATGGGACGCATCCGATCTATTCTCCATCTTCAATTCACCGGTTAGTCCCATGGAAATGAATCCCGGTTTGGAAAAAACAAACCCAAGTCAAATTCAAAACCAAAGTTATTCCAATCCCGGTTTGAAAGATAAACCCTTGGACTGTACCGGCTCGAACGATGTCGATGAGCGGCGAAAGAAACGTAAATTATCAAACCGGAAATCAGCTCAGCGGTCGAGGATCAAGAAACAAAAACACCTAGAAGACGTGAGAATCGAACTTAACAAGCTCAAGATCGAGAACCGGGAACTAGAGAACCGGCTCCGACACGTTTTGTATCATTGTCAACGTGAACAGATGGAAAATGATAGTTTACGGTTGGAGCACCGTGTTCTCCACGAGAAACTGTTGAACTTACGACAAGCTTTGGTCATGCGCCAAATCCAACAGAGCTCAACGTGTGCTACGTGGTCATGTATTAATAGTACCGTTGTAACGGTCCTACAGAATCCATCGATAATATAAGAAATCACGTAATTTGAGATTTAAAAACATAATATGCATCGTTTTAGACCAAGACGTATCATGAGATACTAGGAGTTTAAAATATTAATTTTTTTGATAAAGTACTAGGAGTGTTTTCTACTTCTTTTGTAAACAAATTCCGAGAAGCAATAATTTTACTGATCATACGCTATAGTTTTATGAGGAAATCATAATATTTTGTTATACAAATCTTTCTCTTTTAATTTATTTTATTTTGTAGACGGGTTATCATATCGATAAGATAATCACTTGTCACTTAATTCGCCTCAGCTTTATATAAAAATCAGAATTCGTGGATCAGTTTGGTTCAAATACACCTCTGAAGATTGATTTCAAATGTTTAATTAAGTTTTCTAATTTTATCACATAATCAAATTTACTTTACTTTTGGAAAGTCACATATAAGTAAAATAGGTTGAGACAACGTCGTCATCCCTATCCTATTAGCTTTACTAAAGTTGTGAGTGCATATGTTTCATTTTTACTAGCCATAGCGATTCACATGCTTTATTAATGTGCAATGTATACAAGTTTTTTAATATGTGGATTTGTTTTCTTACAAAGTTAGGAGATCAAAGACAGCGATATATGGTTGGAAGACTTCATCGGTCTACTAGTCACGTTTTCATGTCTTGATTAGGCGCACATAGACCATTTGTTAAATCCTCCTTTTGAATCATTACACTTCAGCTAGCGTAAGTAACGTTATCACATCAACATGATCTTTGAGCATTAAAGTTGGACGTAAAAAGTTGACAAAAGGCACAATGGCTTCAGTAGATAAAAAATTACCGTCGTAAATAATTGTTAACAAGCATTTATTTGAGAGATTAACACTACAAAAAACAAGGTAGAAGGCGTCAGTTTTTTAACGTCATAAGGTAAACCGACGTTAAAAGTTTAAGTGGGAAGCAATATAACGTCGTTTTGATAACCGACATAAACTTTAATATTCTTAATTAATTATTGTAAAACTGTTGATCAATTAAATAGTTAAACTGTTCAGGTTTGTAACCCTAAACGCTTCGTCATTTCTTCTGCAAAATTCAGAATATGAGTGAACCGTCGAGTTCTCATCTGCTCATCGGAGCTTCTTCGTCAATTCGCACCTTCGTTTCCTTTGAAGTTCGAATTTTCTCTTTTCCGATTTAGATCGAAAGATGCGGAATCATATCTCAACTCGATCAAAGACGCCAAATCCTCTATTTTCTGCGTTCGATCGGGATCGAGATTGTTGGTATGTTTGATGTTTCTTATAATTTCGTTGTATTTTTGATTGAATTAGGTTGATTTTGACAAGAATTGTGAATCCAATTTAATGATACGTTTGAACTTTTGATTGAATTTTTGGATAGTGTCGTCGGCGGTGAATCTCAAATCTTGGCAGATTCAGTAGTTTGAGTTTTGAGATAGTTTTTGTTGAAATTTCAATCTGTTTCGATCTCTAAATTTTTGTTAGATTCTGGTCACATTCAATCTTTCTTCAAGGATCTGCAACTTACTTACGCTTTTCTTTGTTTTGAATTTGGTAAAGAGGATAGTACTAAACTTTAGGTTTCTACGAGGATTGGAAGATGCAGAGTACATTGACGCCCCTCCAAATCTAGAAGCTGTAAATAACAGAAGAGAAGCTTAGAAGAAAGGAGTAAGTTTTGTTTCTACATGAATATGCAGAAAAAAGTACTAATTTTTTCATTTCCTTAACATAGTGGTGCTAATAGCATATATTTCCTTCTTAATCTGTAGAATGATTTGCAAAAAGCAACTTGTAACTTTACTACTTTGATTGGCCAAGGAGCATTTGGACCTGTCTACAAAGCTCAAATGTCTACCAGTGAGACGGTAGCTGTGAAAGTTCTTGCCACTTATTCTACAGGCGAACAAAAGTTTCACACAAAAGTTCTTGTCACTAAATGAATTGTCAATGCAATGTTGAACTATTTGGTTTCTCTGTATCATATTTATTGAGTCGATGGTTTAGACTTCACTAATTGATGAGCCTTCGTGAAGATTTGCAACATACTAAAATGCTTTTTTGATACAGGCGAAAAACATGAACCACTGAACTGGGATTTGAGAGTATATATTGCATTACGCGGTCTAGAGTATCTTCGTGATGGGGTAATTTACTTTCTAAAACAATCCACCCTTTTAATGCATATCTAGAAAACACAACTTCAGAACCCATGTTCTATTCAATTCTTGCTAGAATGTTCCTCCTGTAATCAACAGAGATCAAATCTTCCCAACATTTTGTTGGATCAATCCATGAGAGCTCGGGTAAATATATCTGCATTCTCCTTGAAATCTCAGTCTATTAACCACCTCGAGTTCCTCATGTCATGGTGGATTATTCTTTACTTCAGGTTGTTGTCTTTGGACTATTTAGAGGAACATGCTGCTAACATCAGAGGAGCATTTGGTTATCTCGATCCCGAATACGTTTCCACAAGAACATATACCAAGCAAAGAGATGTTTATGGCTCCTGGGTTTTACTCTTTGAGCTTATAGCTGGAAGAAATCCTCAACAAGGTCTAATGGAATTTGTTGAGCTGGTAGATGTCATGTGTGTATGATTTATGTTTTGTAAGACAGAATTACAAAGTTACATTTTGTGTATAAAGATATGAATTTGATCAATGTAATGATTCATATGGATCAGCTTTTAGAAATTTTATCAAGTTACATTTACGTTATATCTTTATTATACTAGATTCTTAATAATAAATAATTAGTATAAATAGAAAATAAATGATGCGTATTTGCGTCGGTTGTTTAATTGACCCAAAGCTGAAGATTTAAAGTCGAAAGGAAACCGATGCTAATTGAAAAGAAACCGACGTTAATCTTTTGATGTTAAACATTGCGTCATTTCTTTAAGTGAAGCGAAAAAAGTTTACGTCGGCCAATGTTAAGTCGTTTTAAAAACTGACGGTAAAATATTAACGTCTGTTTAAAGCCGACGTTAAGTATTAAAACAAATGACGTTACAAGCCGTGTTTCTTGTAGTGTAAAGATAACTCATAGATGATATGCTGAGAAAAAGAGAGTAAACCGTAGTCTCAATCTCACAGCATCCCTTCCATATGTTCGATCTTTCGTATCGATTTAATGGAGTAATAGTTTGTAGGTTGATTACATATAACAATAAGAATTACTTAAAATGGATCAAATAAAGACAAATCTTTGGTAAATGATAAGTTGTAAGAAAGTCCAAAAGGTTCTAATAAGATGTCTTAATTAAATTCGTTAAGAAAGAAAAGCAAAAGTTAACTTTCAACAACAAATCTATATATCTCTCTTTTTATTTTCTTTTGAAACGAATCTTCCACATTTTGGGTTGCAATATCGTCCATCCAGCCAATCAAAGTGTCTCTTAATTCTAGTGTTTGGGAGAAAAATCAAGAAAAAACTAGCGAGAGAGCCTTCCACAGTTTCATTTCAGTTCTGGTGAACTAATAAAGGTCCACAAATACAGGCCCATTTATGTAGTGATAAGCCCATAAAAGTCCAATGAAACCCTAGCTCTAGACGACTAGAGTCACCGTCGGGTATATATATATATAGCCACTAAACACTTCTTCTCTACCTTGCAACTTACAAATTAAAAAGCTACGCCTCCTTTTATTCTTTTCTTTCATTTAGTTATTATTTCCGTTTTTTATTTTCTTTCTTGATTTATGTGATTTTATTTGCCAAACTTTGATCGGAGAAGAGAGCGATGATTATAAAAAACAAGATTAAAATTCTGATCTGCTCTATTACTGGGCATGATAGACTCATATACACCCATAGAATATGAGCTCTCTTCTCAATCATCTATTTTTGTTTCCAAATCTCTTTATCATTCACTAAGTTTGTTTGTTCCCTGAACCAATAAAGGGAGTCTGGATTAATTATACAACTTGTAATTTCATCAAATTAGTTTTGTAATTGATATCCGAAGAGTTTGAATTGTATTAATAACTTTAATCGTAATTATATATTAAAAAAAAATCGGAGCCAGCTCAGTCTGCGCAAAAGCCTCTGGGATTCTTTTTTTTTCTTTCTCTTT